AGTTGACACGTATCGCAGTGAACAAGATTTCGTCAAGAAACGTCGTGAATTATTGAATAGACCTACTATTCAGGAAATTGCCATACAATCAAGTATTTCCAAAGCATCATGTGGCTCCAATAAAGAATCCAGGAGTGAATCCATGGTTCAATTCCATAAAGCAGGTCCATCGAAATGGGATTCAAATGTGATTATCCATTACTCACATGAAAGTCGATTGTCTACTTACAGAAGGGATGTTCATCAACTATGGAATGAACACTTTCATCAAACTCCAGTGACCCATACACGCCTGATCATAGGAACCAAAAACAATCCCAATTTGACCAAACGACTTCTACGGCGCCAATCAAATCATCAAGAACGAGCACAGAACGAGAAAAACTGAGAAATAAAACTTCTCAGTGATTTATCTGTCATAGACTTCTTTTTCTTTTTTTTCTTCTGAATAAACTATCGAACCACTATCGTGTATAGATTAGATTCAAACAAAGCTCTAACAAAACATGTTTTATTCTTTTTCTCTGTTTTATTTCATTAGGCTTGTCCCACAAAATTCACACTTCTACACATTCACACGATCGGGATACTTGGACATCAACACGATAGAAGAGATTTGGCCGATTTTGAAAGTGAGCAATGAACATATTGAATTCAACATGCGTTGAGTAGACAATCGTTAGCGATGACAGAGAAAAGCTGCAAACGCACCTAGATTGATAGCCTTCGTCTACGTTTACTTTGTGATCATTTACTAACTGCGTATTCACTTAGGTTATGCATCCATCGAAATTCCTGGTAAACTCCTCTAATTGCTCGGTTGGTCAGGACACTTACATCAATCTCAACCATGAATGTCAACAAATTATCAATGACATGAAAAGTCAAATATTCTTCGACCACGATTTGGAATATCGCCATCTCATGTTCCTCTTAAACAATCGTACAACCATTGAATATAAACTAATTGAGCTGTTATTCGATCGGATCAATCAATTAAACGTACCATCAGATGTTCGTGATAGGTTGCTTTGCAATCTACACGAGGTTAGCATGGCTTTCACTCCTGTCGATATCTACATCGACGACAACAATAGTTTTCGTCCTGATTCTGATTCTGACTCTGAATCCGAGGGAGAATTACTTGTTGATCATTCAAATGGTGATATCAATTCGACTGATGGTAGTTACGAATATGACGTTTCAGAGAATATCCAACTCGACGATTACCAACTCGAGCATGGCGTTGGTGTTATCGCCAGTGATCTTACCGATCCAAATACAAAAGTAACTACAAACAATAACACTCCTCATTTTCTCAAGTAACTGTGTCTCTTTCTTCGTATTCCTTAGACTAACGGTGACTCTGATTGTGATCTCTAGCTTGAAAATGATTCATCTCTATGTCATGTATTTTGTTGTTATCAATAAATCTGACTAATACTTTGCCTGTCATTTGAATTTTCACTATTCCTAAACAATACATACCATCATTTTGTCTGATTATCATAGATCAAAATTTTTAAAATAAACTACAAAAAACCTATCGCGTCTAACCTTTGATCACAGAATCATTCTTCTAACAATCCATAGTCACAGTACCAATCTTTCCACTTTCGCACGAAACCATACATGATATCAGTGCAGATTTCACCACCCCGTTATCCATAAATGCCTAACATGCAATTCCAATTTAAATATTCGTTCAGCTCTTCGTCTATCCAAGTGTTTCAATCATTCCAGATCAGTCTGAGCACGTGTGATACGTATGTTGAGATTCCTATCATCTTGAGAGTGTGTGATCAATGCATACAAGTATCCCTATGCGGGTGTGGTGTGGGTGCGGATGGGTTGATATCAATGTGACGGTGTGAGATGGATCCCAAGGCCTTATCACAGCAGTGATAGCATGCAAATAAGCGTGAAGCAAAACTGCGGAGAGCTTAACAGTGAAGTGAGGATTCCCAATGCACAGGGACAGTGTACAACGGCTGCCACCGCACACCATGCGTACTACACTACTTAAATATTTCAAAAAAAACCCTTCCACTTTTCAAAATGTATCTAAGCACCCAAAATCACATTTCAAGTTTAAACAGCTGCGCAACATCACACTCAAGTCAAATTAGCACCGATATAATAAATCTCATATCAAAAACCCACGTGTCTTAGCTCAAAATATAGGGACATCACCGAAAGAGAACGAAAGAGAGAGAGGAATCGAGAAAAAGCGACCTTCGTGGGACCCGAACCAATACCTTCTGCTACCCGGGCAAATGTCCTAATCCAATTAGACTTGCAGGGTCATCTTAATCTCTAGTCTAGCGTTGTGTGATTCATCACAAACGCTAACAACATGCCAACACCACTCTCCAATACACAACAAAACACAAGATCTCAAATCCTCCACAAGATGTCACCCTAATCCGATGTTACTACCCATTCACCTCATTGTTTCTCAGCACCAGAATTCAATATATAAACAACGCGAAGATAATCTATATTGTACCATTCGCAATCATATGAGCGGTACATTGAACAGATTCTTATCGGCTATCTGTCGAACTACGCAGATCACGTAGGCTTATCTGTGATCTTCGGATCATTTGGATAGCTTATGTAGTCTAAAGCCATCTGATGAGTCCTCTAGCAGGGACGAAATCGCGATCATGGCAAGCTTTGAGTCACACACACACCCTCACACACCCTCAAGAGAATAACGACGACACTAACATCTTTAATATTTACGATCAAATTCAGATTTGAAAATATGTAATTTGTTTTTTCATTTTCTGTATTTATCACCATCAAAGTCACGTTCGCGTAAGGAAAAAATGAGACATTTTAACATTTATTTCACTTTTTGTAACAGAAAAAATCAAAAGTTCAAAATTCTTTTCTATTGATGTCAATATACAAACCTACACAATGTTATTATATCTCTATTCAAAAGTAAATTCCCTAGATGATTTAATTAATATGCTTGAAACAAAGCAGAACCCTTTTCGCCTCTTCAACACTGGATATATTTTATTAATCGCTTTGCCATACGTTTTTGACAGCTCTTCAAATCAAGGACATGTAACTAATGAATTACCTGTCAAGCAAACTAATAACATATGATCTTTTCAATATTAAAGCTTTGACGTAAATGTATTACTAATTATCAAATGAGTTACTACTGCTACTAAGAAATCTATTTAATCTTGGTAATAGTAATAATAATAATAATAAAACGTGTCAAAAATTTTTATGTGAGTTTGACTTCGACAAAAAAATCTGCTATCACATTACTAAATATTTTCTCTTTCAACAATGAATAATATCATAATTGAACCAGCGGTATTCAACGATATAAATTTAACATGTACAAGACCTCTTTTATGGAGTCAAGCAGCGGCAGAGAGTCGAACACCTCGACTTTATGTTTGCATAATTGCTGCTATCATACATTCAATATTTTGGCTTCAGCTCGCTTTTTCTTCTTCTATTCGACTAAAATCATTGCAATGGATCTATGCTTATCTTATTACTGACATTCTTCTTCTTTTTCGATTTTTCTTTCTCTACATAATTGGTACCAGATCAATTGAATGTGAACCAAGTCAATTTTGGGTGTCATTTATCTGCATTATTCAAGCGACAATGGACAATTATCTCAATATAATTGAAGTTTATATTCTATTGGCTTTAAATGTATGCCGTTATGTGCAAATAACATACAATAAAGATGTCTATCGACTATATGCCAAACAACTTATTTCAGCTCACTTAACTGTTTATTTACTACCATTCTTTATTTTGTTGATTCAATTTCCCCTTGGTTGGGCTATATTAGTAAAATCTGTTGATGAGTCTTGTGATGTTCGATATTCGAGCATCTATACGCAAATAATGAATTTAATTTTTGCCTTTGTTCTTCCTATTATTCTGAATATCTTAGTACTTTATATTAGTGCTCGTCGTGTTCGTTTAACAACAACTTTGTAAAGAAAACAACATCATTTTTTTTCTCGTGAAAGATATCATCGTTCAGTAGTTATTCAATTGCTGTGTTTGTTTACTTGTTGGTGTATTAACCATCAATCGTCTCAGCATCGTTACAAATCGATGGTGGGCATCAATCGGATTTGTTGGTTATGGTTTATTATATTTCAATCGTGGAAATGTTGCATTTGCTGGTACAACGAAGCTTTCATACNAGTATCCACTCGCCTTGTGTCAGAAACCGAAACGTCATAAAACACAAAAGTCCGAGTGTGCGAGAGATTTGTTGTGGCTCTCACTACGGTTATTGTGGATAATAGAGTTTCCAATTTATTGAAGATGTAAAATGCTCACAAAGAAACGTTCATGAGAAAATATCAGAAACTGGTATGACCTCCTCGAGCAGCTCTGAGAGCATCGAATCTTTTCCTCATTGAGCACAGCAAATCAATGAAAAGATCAGTGTCATCCTCGAGATTCTCGAGGACATTCTCAAGATTAGTCTTCAGAACATCATAACTGTATCTGTTTTGGCGATTTTCAGTTGCCATCAATTCTTCAACTCTATCTTTGATGATTGCACCAATATTCTCCGCCGGATTCATGTCAGGACTGTTACCAGGCCAGATAGAATTGCCCCAAAAGTCAATGTCCTCGTCCTCCAAAAGATGTTGTGTTGCGTTAGCTTTCATGCAGGGTGCCTTGTCGTGAAGAAATACGACTTCGTGCACGTCAAGGACATTCATTGGATTGCGAAGAAATGGAATGATATGGTGCTGAAGAACAGTTTCACGAAAATAGTCCCATCCCATGATTGCCCATGTTCTTTTAAGACCCAAAGAAGTTTCTTTGCAGTGAACATAAGAAAATTTCCGATACACTGTGCGTTCTGAACCATTTCTCGGTCTCTTTCATCATCGCTGATGTCCTCGATATTTTTGGCCGAGATTCTATCGTTTTGATTGTTTGGTTTTCTTATAACGTAAATATAAAATTCATCTGAGGGCGCAACGTGCATGAAATCCTCTTCGGTCCAATTGACAACGCAATTCGCGAGCCATTTTCGATCTTCAATATGCGTATTTGTCTTCAGTGGCTTCGCGATCACATGGAAAGGTTTCAATCCTTGTCGATGTCGCTCCCGATTAACAGTCATACGACTCACCCGCTGTTTTGTTTTCTCTCAAATTTCCCTGGCAACCTTACAAGAGCTATTGCCTCCGACACCACTTGCAGAAGAAATAACGTCTTTGCTTTCCTATGGGTAGGCATGCAACAATCCCGATTCGATTCGATTTCGATTCTAGAATCGGATGGAATTGGTTAGAATTGGAATCGGAATCGAATGGAATTGACCCAGAATTGGCTGGAATTGATCCGAGATAGACTGAAATAGATTACTAATTTTAACTTAGACTAATATTAGTTTCAGACAGTCTTCGTTAATGGCAGACAAATTTCCAGCAACAAGAAGCATTTAGAATTATTTTCCTGTTAGATCTCACATAGTTCTTAACTATGTCACGTTAGTTTCAAATCACATCCAGTCAATCCCAGCTGGTTCCAACCAATTCCAATTCCAAACAATCCCATTCGATTCCGATTCCAATTATGGGTCGATTCCATTCGATTCCGATCCCAATCCCAACCAATTCCATTCGATTCCAATTCCAATTCCAACCAATCCCATTCGATTCCGATTCTAGAATCGGAATCGGATTGTTTGGAATCGGGATTGGTGCATGCCTACTATGGGTCAACAACACCTGAGGTCGACCACTTCCAAATTGTGTATAGCACTCTTCGGTTGTTTTATTCCAATTTCGGCGTACCCAATCTTCGCTATGGCAAAGTCTTTCGGAGATCCATGCACGAGTGATAAATGATTGTCCTGTAGTTGCGATCATTTCATCACGTATCTCACGATATGTGATGCAGCGAATTCGATCCACAATTCGCTGCTCTTCTCAATCGTGACGAAGATTAGCCATTTTTATGCGTTAGATTTCCGTGACAAGTTTTTCTAAACTAAACTGATATTTAATTCAATTCTTAATGCGATCGAGTCAGTTACTTGTGCGAGCAACAGACAAACAGTGAGGGAAAGAAATGACAAAACTCGAAACACTACTAGAAATGTTTCGTTTTCTTTTCTATTCATTCTTCTCTTATCTGCTCGTGCGCAAATGCACGCATAAGATTTTTCTTTCCATTGTTAGTCATGGGTAGTGAGTCCTTTTCGATTAACAGTAAACACATCATTCAGTTCGCGCATGTGCTTCGTAACTGAAGGATAAAACAATGTAATTTATCCGTTAACCCTTATCCGCCCACCATGGGTCCGTACGGACCCCAAAGAAAAACGAGAGCTTCTATGATTGGTACTTTATTTCCTCTAGGTATAAACTATAAAAACGAAATCCACTGACATTAGTAGCGCATAATACGATCCTTCGAAACAATATAAATTGAAGCACTACAAACTAGTATTGTATTTAAGAAATCATTTCGAAAATTTGTTGGAATTTAGACATATATGCAGGTGGGCGGATGAGGGTTAACAAAGAGGTATGACGGCTCTTTTCGGTATACTCGAACTTTTGTTTTTTATGACGTTTCGCGGTTTCTGGCACAAGGCGCGTGGATAATTTCATACACAATATTTATTCTAATTAGTGTGCTAGATGCAGTTTTTCACGGGCTTCAATTTGGTATAAAAATGTTTCTGATACCGTTTATCTTTTAGGTTGCTAGGGGGGGGGGTGGGGGGGGCTGAACATTTTAGTTCCCCCCTTTAAGTTCTTTTAGAGTATTAAAGGTTTGTATATAGAGACTTTGTCCTTATTACTTGTGGAAGAGCTTC